ACGCCACGCGGACCCCCCCACGCAGAACACAGCCCCCCGCCGGCCCACAGCCCTTCATGGGCTCACCGCCCCTACAACCACAGCCCCACGCAAACGAGCCCCCGCAGAGTTCCGGCACCCCTCAGACATACTCAGGCCCACGCAGACACAATCCCATACGCACACACCCTCAAGCAGACACAGCCCACACAGGCGCAGTCCCACAACCCCCTATAAACAATCTCACACAAACAACCCAACGCAGGCACCGCATCACTTGGTGCCTCCGAGCCCCAGAAACACATTCACAAGCTCGCAGCAGACCCTCAAACCCCGTGACATACACACAGAGGACAGGCCAGAAATACACAGCCACACTGATACACACACCGACCCATACGCGCAGCCAGGAGCTCACCCACGGGCTCGTAAGTCACTGGGAAAATATTAAAGCGTTCCCTCCCTCCCCTTCCATCTCTGGCGCGCGCGCGCGCGCGCACGAAAACACTCACTGCCACCCGCCCCCCGCCCTGCAACCTCAGTCCCTAAGCGCCTCGGAGCCTCCTAGCCGGTGACCCCAAGCCCCTCGCGGTGAGAGCCGCGGGAGCGTCTCCCGGGCGCCCCCTCCTCCCGCTCCCACTCCTCCCCCAGCCTCCTCCTTCCCTACCCCCTCCGCCTCCTCCCCTCCCCCGCGTCTGGGGCGCGGGCTGCGCGCTGCCAAGCCCCCTCATCGCGCGCCCCTCCCCGCGCGCGCCCCGCGCCCGCATCGCGCTCGCCGAGTGGATGCGGCCACGGGGCGGTCTCTACCTCCTGTCCCCCGGCGGCCCGTGAATAATGGCTACTGAGGGCGCTCGTAGGGGCTGCTGAGAAGGAAACGCGGGGCACGAGAGACGCGGCGCGCGCGGGAGCGCGAGGGAGAAAGGAGCGAGCCCCCGGCCGCCGCGAGCGGCGGGAGGAGAGAAAGGAATCGTGCGAGCGCTCACATTTTTTTCTCCCAAGGATCTCATCCGGCCGCCGCGTTCTGGAAGAGAAGAGGGGAGAGCGCGCGCGAGCGAGAGAGGAGGAGGAGAGGCGGCGCGGGGAAGGGAGGCGGCGAGACGCGCAGCGCCGGCGCCCGGGAGACCCAGGAGGAGCCCGCAGGTATTGTTGGCGGCGGAGCTTTG